ACTAAAATAAGATATAGTTTAATTTAAATTAAAAGAAATACATTAAGTCATACATAGTAGATCGAAAAAGATCAGCAGAAATATGTGTTTGTTCATTTGTTTCTTTTTTTTTAGGTATTTTGGGGAGTTTGGCGATACTATTTATGTGTCTTTCTTCGATTTTTATATTAACCGCTTCAATACCACGTGCAGCTACAGAACAGCGAAAAATATCATTTAAGTGATGGTTAAATTAAAAAACTCACTTTTTATCGTATCAAATTTGCAGCTATCTGATATAAAAAACTTCTTTTGATGTAATTCATTGATGATTGACGCTTCACGTGCAAAAATATCACGTGATTCGACTTTATCTTTTCTACATAATATATAGAATTAAGTTTAAAAACAAACTAGCTATTACAAACCTTTTTATGAACGCATAGTGTTTAAGACGATTGACCGTAACGATTGTACCTCGAATACCTTTTTCTAAAAATAGAAATATTCTTTTTTTAATGTTCAAATTTTGAAATTCTATTACCAAAAAGAACTGGTTCATTATTACCAGAAACAAGTCCTTTACTATGATCACGAGTAAATGATTTATTATTACTACGAACAAATGTTCTATTATGAACACGAATAACAGGTTTGTTTTTAGCAACAACAAGTGGTTCATTATTATCAATTAATGATTCATTGTCATCAAGAATTACTGGTTCATTAGTACTAAGATTTAATGGTACATAAACTATTGAACTTGTATTTTCTTTGTCCATTAATTGATTAGATTTATTCTTTTTGAATCTAAAATATTGGCGGATAAACAAAGAAATATTTCAAAACATATTACTTTTCTTTTTTATTTCAATAAAGCAGAATGATTTTATTTAATCAAAACCTTTTTGATAGGTGAAGTTTGTATTTAAATACAATAAGAATTGAGGATCTAAAATAATATAAAATATGCTAATGATCAATTTCGGATTGTTATTACACTTTTTTCCCCATACAACGTACTAATAAAAAAAATTAAAATTTTTGATTTATTCGACTATTTTAATGAAAGAATTTGATGGCAACAGGAACACCAACAACTAATTCTCATAGTGGAAAACATCGATTAGATCCTGAAATAGAAAAATATCGTTTAGAACTTAATTGGACTAAAATTCTTGATAAACTAAAATGTGCAAAAGTTTCAGGTTTTATTTCTTAGTTTGGTTTTTTTAAACAAAAATCTAAAATTTAATTTGTTTTTTTCTGTTTTTTATTTGAAAAGAATATGTTAAATTTTTGGAAGGAGAAGCTCAATTAGAATATTATTTACAACAATATCCATTAACTGATTATCGTTATATAGAACAATCTCGAAATGATTTAATTCGTGTTGAAAATCTTCTAAAATCAGGTGGATCAATTCGTTCATTTGAAGGTCGATGTTTATTAGCTAAATTATATTATGCTCAATCACGTTATGATGAATGTTTAACATATGTTAATTTAGCAATTAATTCAATACCAAATGATATTAATCAACAACCAAATAGATCTTCTTTATTACTTGCAGAAATTTATGCACTTAATGTACTTTTATTAGAAAAAAAAATGAAAATTTACTTTTTGAAATAATTAAATCATTTGATGATTCTTGTAAATTAAGTCAAACATATTATGCTGCTGTTGAAAAATCTAAACTTTTAGTAATGAGAATTTAGATATTGAAAATTCTTTAATTGGATTAACTTATCAACGTTTATCACTTTTACATGTTTCAAATAAGTTAATTCTTTTTTTTATAAAAATTAATATTTATTTTAAATAAATATATATATATATCTTTTTTGTTTAGTAATATAAAAACAGATATTGAAATATTTCGTTCATATATTCAAAATGTTCATATTAAATCATTAGAAACAATGACACAAGTTTGTTTTAAATAAATAAAATAAAATCTATAAGACTTTTTTTGTTTTTGTTAATATAGACATTAGTTAAACAATATGCCGAATTATTATTAAAATGTGTTGGTAAAGGAAATTATATTCCAATAATAAGTTCAGATGATAAAACTAATAAAACTAATCGTCGATCATCTCAGTAAGAATAAATAAAGAAATGAATAAATAAATAAATTAATTAATTAATTATAAAAACTAGATCATTATTTATTCCTCTAGATGTTGATGAAGAAATTTTGTTATTATTATTATTGGGTCAAACATCAACATTAAATGAAGCTGTACTTGATTGGCAACCTCAACATGAAGGTCAAAGAGAACGTAGTCATCAAGTTGCTTATAATATTCTTGCTCTTCTCTCTATATTTCTTTCTCGTAAACAAGCATTTCATATTATTGCTGATGTAAATTTTTTTTTATTTATCTTTTATAATAATATAATATATCTATATATGTCTAGTCTTATGAACGAGCTCTTCGTTTTTCATTTGAACATTTTCAAACATGGTTTAATTATGGATTATCATTAATATCGTCAGGTCAATCATATCGTGCTTATCTTATATTAAAAGAATGTTTACG